GTCCTGATGGTCATTTCTGGGGACATTCCAGTGGCCCAATGGCTACTGTGTCCTTTATACTTCTTTCCCTTTTTGTTGTATAATTATTTTGATTTGAGTATATGAGTGAAAATAGATCTAAGTTTCTATGTGTGGTGATTTGTACATGGGACAGATGTTTTGTGAATTGTCCAACAGATAATTATTTTCAAATTTAACTGCATCAAATGGTGGGGGTAAAATCTCTAGCAGTCTCTACTTTGGAGGATTCATATAATAGGGGGAAAATACCTTGATATTAAGTATATATATTATATCATAAAAAGATGTATTAGTATAAATATAAAACCCAGAGAAGCAAGAAGATTTAAAAATAAAATTAACTTCACTTAATGGAGGCAGTGAGAGCTTGGGCAAAAATGTGACAGCAGAGGTAATCACTGGAGGGTGACTAGGAATTTACCAAAAGCAAGGTAAAGGTAAAGCAAGAAGTGAACTTCCACATAGGGGACAGGATGAGCAAAGGCATAGGCTCATGTGCCTTTGAGCATGGCAGGACATTGCTTAAGAGTAAGGAAGTAGGGAGATATTCATTTGCAGACATCTGCAGCCAGTCAGAGATGCTCTAGACCCAGAATATTTGTTCGGGTTTAAGCCTATACACAATTGAGAATCATCAAATTGGGGAATGGAAAAATGATAAAATTAGCATTCTCAAAAGATTATTCTATTATATTTAAATAGGTTAAATGGAACAATATAAGAGGCAGAGAGATAACAGAGCTAAAATAAACAGAAGCTACTGGGTTGGAAAATAATTCCAGGCAGAGAGAAAAGGAAAGAGATTTGAAATCTGAATTAAATCTTATAACTGCTGAAATTCTTCAGTAGGTGGGAAAATAAAGGAAGAAAAAATAAATTCTACTTACAGTGTGAGAGTTAGTGTAGTTGCACATATCTATTTCATCTATATCTCACCAGGAGTATTTTTGAATAACACAAATTGTAGGGAAAATATCATAGCCTCAAGTTTTATTATTTTCAATTTGAAGCTAAACGCTAAATGTGAAAATGCACGTAATACTTATCCATCCATGTACAATAAAGAATACATGCTTATTAATATTCTAGATAACTTAAACTTGTGAGTCAGATACTAACTTAAAGCTTATATAAATTATCAGTTTATTTTTGAAAAAAATGAAAAAAAATTCAATACTAATATTCTCATTTTATAAATATAGAAGCCAAGATATAATTTAAATGACTAATTGAAGATAACTATATATTCATCCATATAGCTCAGATTCTTTTCCAGTGTTTTTACACATTAGGAGGATTTTGTCTTTCTAGTGATATTGAGCTCTTTCAACTAGTTTCTTTTCTGCACTCAGTTTTGTTTGTTTGTTTGTTTGCTTGTTTGCTTGTTTGTTTTGGTACTGAGGAGTGAACCCAGGGGCATTTAACCACTGAGCTACAAGCCCACTTCTTTTTATTTTAATTTTGAGGCAGGTTCTCACTAAGTTACTTATGGACGTTCTAAGTTATTGAGGCTCTCCTTGAACTTGTGTTCTCTGATTAAATTCTCTAACCTGTTGTCTAACATCATGTATGTATTTTATTCCACAGGATTTAAAAGGCTGTGTTTCATAACTCTCAAATTGAGATGGCCTGTTTTCATTTGTTTGCTGTTCTCCCTCTCCCTCTCTATCTACCTCTCCCGCTCTGTTGTTCTTGTTCCTATTTTGTGGTGTGCCTTGTAATTTCATTTTGTTGAATGTAGGGCATTGTGCATGCAATACTATAAAACCTGTTTGAGGCTCTAAATAGAGGATTTACTTAGGTTTGGCCAGGGACTTAAGAAAAGATCATACTGTCTAATGAAAAATAGAGATTGTCTTGATTTAACTTGAATCATTTCTATATTTTCATTTCATTCTTTATTCCAAAGATATCCCAAAGCCTGGAGTATTTGTCAATATCACATATATTGGTAAGCATTAAAGTCCAATTTTTATCCCTTGTCTCCTACTATTTTAAGACTGTTGGAAATTTTCTTCAACTTTTCCTCCTGACATGCCCTACTTTCTGTTGTTAAGCTTATCAGACACTCAGTTGCTTCTTTAGAATCCACAACCTTCCTCTTGGGACAGGGTATGCTGCTGTCAGTCTCACTACACTGTGCTGCATCTTTCTCCGTGGTCTTTGTACCTTTAGACTTTACGGGCTTCAGCTGTTTTCAATGGAAAGGTTGGTTGAAAACCATGGATCCCACAATTACTAGAATTGGGAATCTGCTTATGTGTATTGGTATGTCTGTTCTGATGTTATCATGTGACTCTTACCCTAATGTTCAACAATATTTACATTCCTTGGCAAAATCCTACTTAGTCATCAGATATTTGTCAATATGTATATGTATATATATATATATATGCATTTGCTAGTATATCATCTATAATATTTGCATTGTTAATCAAATGTGAAACTTGTATCATTGTGTGTGCTTTCTGTTTGGTTTTCACATTAGAGTCTGGTATGTATTATAAACTAAAATGAACTAACTTGGAATAGCATAGCTAAATACGATATGTGTCCATTTTCTTTTGAATAGACCTTTTTTTTTGCTTAAATTTTTTGGATATGTCTTTTGGGGACTCATTTTTTTTTCAGAGAATTGGTTTTTATACAACAATGGACTTTATCTAGTGCTGTTAGATGCCATTGCAAGAGACTTTACTTTTATGGCTAGATGTGAGAAAGAAAGCATGTAGCCCTCGTACCTACTGAGATGATGAAGACTACCTGGGAGGATATAAAGGAACATGTTGAGTATTTGGATGGAACCTAACCTCAAGCCAGCCCTACTTTGGATTTTAGGTAATTCAAATCTATAATTTCACACTTTAAAATTGAACCCTTTGAGTAGCCTTTTCTTCTTCCTACAAATGACACATTCTAATAATAACAAAATTGTGTTCTAAGTAGAGTACTGAAAGACTAGTTAGCAAAATACTAAATCAAATAGGTTAATAATGGAAGCAAGGTACTTACTCTTTCTCACTGCCAAGTCTAAAAAGTTCTTCTTAGGTTAAATGGTAGCATTAACTCTTTAAATTTAGGTTAGTGGTCATCCACCAGATAGTATTTGAGACATTCTGTTGTGTAATATTTGAGGCAACAGATTTAAGTAAGATTTCCAAAGAATAACACAGAGGAAAAGAAGAATGGGCAGAAGGCATATTTAGAGGGTGCTAAAATGCTGCCTAATTGCTGCCTAATTTCTTTTCCATCTGCATTCAAACCATTGAAAGATAGCAGGTGTTTTTCATTTCAGTGTATACCATTAACTTCTGCCTTACCCTGTCTCAAATCCTAATTTGAAGGTACATTCTATTTATGACTCTTTCTATGCATTCAGACAGAGCCCAATACCAGAGTGCATCTTTAGAAATAGCATCTATATTCTTTTTTTTTTAGTGCAAAAATATCATGTCTAAAATCAGGGACCAGCCTGCTGGGACTAAATACTGATTTAATAATTTGCAAATCTGTGGCTTTGAAAGTTCTTTTAAATCATCATGAGGCCTCAGAATCTTTGTCTATAAAGTGAGGTGGTCAGTAGGGTTCAAATCTTGAAATTCTTCTTTTAAGAATTCCTGAGATACCACAATGCTAAATAAAGTGAGTTTTTTTAGTTGTTGTTATAATGATGACAGTATTATTACTAGTGTTAACAGTTCTGTGTTCTGCTGCCTAGGACACCAAGTGCTAGACATGAGGATCAGCTCCTGTGTCTCCCATACCTTCTGCATTGTGAATGGAATCCATGAATCTCAATGTTAAAAATAAATTTACAAAAATTAGGTAGACATCAAAATACCAGATTTAAATTCACTTTTTGGCTCCATACTGGCTCTCCTAGCAGACCAGGCATGGATCTGATGACCTCCTTAAATCAGTCTAGCTGTCCTACCTGGATTTTGACTACTATTTAAGAGTGGTTTTACTTTAAATAACTATGGAAAAGAGCAAAAACTAATATATGCAACTTATCTGTTTGATCTACAAACCATATTTTGACTTCCTACTATTACTGTGAACAAATTTTTTCCATTGATAATCTGTGATTTATGAGCTAATAGATATTTTTAAATCTAAAAGTAAAAACATTTTATTATTTAAATCAGTTCACTGAATTTTCTTACATCTAATTTTAGTGTTTTCAAAGTATTTTTCAAAAAATAAAAATGAAATTTAATCAAAATAATTCTCTTAATATCTACATAGTAATTTACTAATACCTAAGTATATAAACATCTGGATTAGTGAAGAAGCCAGTGTGTGATACTCATACTTGCAAGTTTATCAAGCAAAGGAAAATGTGTTTGAAAGCTATATGCATTGCAGGAAACAAAAATATGAACCTTAAGGCTAACTGACCCCTTGTAGGAGGCAGATGAAATCTGATAGTCAAAAGTTGTACTTGTTAGAATTATACATATTTATAAAGCAACGAAAGATAACATTCAGAATGCCTGTGTTCTCTCTCTCTCTCTCTCTCTCTCTCTCTCTCTCTCTCTCTCTCTCTCTCT